GTGTGTGTGTGTGTATGTGTGTGTGTGTGTGTGTGTGTGTGTGTGTGTGTGTGTGTGTGTTTGTGTAAGGTGTGTATGTGTGTGCGCGGCGCGCGCGCGTGTATATGTGAGTGCGTGCGTGTACGTGTCACTACGCTTGTGTACGCGTATTTGTCGTTGTTCGAGTAGAGTCATCGATCGTTCGTTGTTCGAGCAGAGAACAATGATCGGCTTTACCTCGTTCTGTCCGTTCACGCCCAGGAACGTCTCTAATTGGCCAGCGAATGATGCCTCCGCCCCATCCTCTCCTGTTTGACGAAGAACACAAAATTATCCTGCTAGTAATTATCGTATCATCTATTATATTTATCTAATAGGGCTATATAATTATATTATAGTCATTTGAGTATAGACATTGTAATTTTTAATCTATAACGTTCACATTTTATATCGATGATCGATGATATATATATATATATATATATATCTACTATAGAAATCTAATATCTAATATCTATATGCTATTTTTCAAAACGAACTCACCAACACCTGACGAACGAACAGCAAACGAGGTCTGTGTCCAGCCATCGCCAAACAGCTCAGTCAGTTGAGCCACTACTGCCGTTTGCAATTCCGTACTCAGTTTAGTTTTCATGAAGTTATCAACTACCGTTTCACATTTTGCGTGTAGGTCACACTTCTTTCTCTGGCTGTACGGAAAAAACAATATATATATATATATAACTGTTGTGCGCGGGCGTGCGTACTACGTGTGCGTTTGTGTGTGCGTGTAAGTGCGCGTTTATGTGTACGCGCGTGTATATATGTATGTGTGCACGAGCGCGCACGTATGTGTGTGTGTGGGTGTGCGCGTGACGTTGCTCCGCACACATCGCACTCATGCCAAGACGAGTAGCATATCCTCTCAATCACGATACTCACTCCCGATATCATAGTATATCAAATGGCACACACAAATCTATCTAATAATTCTTATACCAACGCAGAGTATATTACCCTATACGGCGGAGCCAATGCTTCAAAACTTTTACTTGTTTACACCTGATAGCCGCGCCAACCCTTTCCCGTAGAAGGACAAGCTAACCGGATTCAGTTATTTCAAATAAACCAGATGATATGACAATAAAACACGACGATAAAGCCGTAGAACTAATAGGAAAAACTAATAATACTAGGCCACGTCTTCCAGTGCTTGAATGCAATCTTTTAGATGGCTGTTATCGTCCAAGTGCAGTTTGTAAGCAGCTACTGTCAGACAGAAACCACCAGGTACAAGGCTCTGTGATAGACAGAGAAATATCACCATCAGAACTGTGGATCAATTTTCGTACATTTTGATAGAATATAACAGCTTTCGTCGTATAAGAAACTAAAGCTCTATTTTTTACTAATTATTATAGATAAGTGACTGAATTTAAATAGTAAACTGTTATTGACTTCCTAAATTTAGATACAGAATGTATGTTCTTATCTAACATTGAATATTTAATTAACACCATATAGTAAGTAATAGTTAATGCAAGGCATAGTAAAGTAAGTAGGCATATAAGATTATAAACTTATGTAGGCAACTAACATAATGTAGTTAATTAGCTAACCTATTATATAATAATATTTACATTAATAAACATTACAATTGACATTAAAATAATATTAATAAACGTAATTAACAGTCATTGCAATTAATAACGCATCATGTAACAAACATTGCAGCTGGCCAGTACTACACTATCTAGTTTAATGTACCTTAATAAACGATTATCAAATCTATTAAATCTGGAAATACTACTAAATATATGCCTGTTAATAAATCTAAAAACGTTAATTAATCCTTTAATTAGTCTCTGTTTCACTACTTACCTTTCCGGGTAGTTGGGTTAGTAGGGCCAACTGTGTTCCTTTGCCACCGACCAGTTGAGAGGCAGAGCACGAGGTAGCACTGAATGGCAATGTCAATGCTCCCGCGTCCAACGCATCTGTTATGTCTGCGTCAGTAATGGTAAGATTATATATATATATATATATATATCGTTAAGCCTGTTTGATCGGGTATATCATACCTTTGCGGCATCAGCATCATCATCATCATCAGCAGCAGCAGCAGCAGCAGCAACAACGTCAGTGTCAGCGTCAGTGTCAGTACCGCCATCAGTGTTAACATCAGCATCAGTGTCAGCAGCAGCAGCAGCAGCAGCAACAACGTCAGTGTCAGCGTCAGTGTCAGTACCGCCATCAGTGTTAACATCAGCATCAGTGTCAGCAGCAGCAGCAGCAGCAGCAACAACGTCAGTGTCAGCGTCAGTGTCAGTACCGCCATCAGTGTTAACATCAGCATCAGTGTCAGCAGCAGCAGCAGCAGCAGCAACACCATCAGCATCCTCATCTTTGGAGCTCCGAGAAAGAATCTGCAGTGTCATCGTCGATCGCA